TATCAAGGTCAGCAATTTCTAGAATCTGTGCTTTTTTTATTTCTCATTTCCCATTTATTTTGAAAACCAGAACATTCATTTCTCTCTGAGCACCTAGCATCTTTCCTATTCTCTTTAAATTTTCATGGGGATTCTGTGAAGATGACTGCATTTATTACTCATTTTGTCCACCTATCCTTCTTAACTCCTTTCTGAAGCATCGCAGTAACCAATGTAAGAAGACTAGAGGAACTTTGAGAGTATGTCTGTGATTCTACATTCCCCCAGAGAGTTCTAGAAAGAAAGCAGGTACAAAAGGAAGGTACATCTTCCTTCTCAAAGATGTTGATCAAGAATCAAGAAATAAGCAACAGAGAAGACTTGCTTCACCTTAATTATTGGGTGAGTCGAGATGATGACTTTTGAGGTTTTGTGAGGAGCCTACATCACCCTGTCTGCTGCGTTTGCTCTTTGCAGGTTCCCTATCATGGTGGATCAATTTAAACATAGTGTTTTACTACCTGGGAAGGATGAATGTCTTCCAGTTGTCACCTGTAAAGGGGAGTGTTACCTGTACAATAAGAAACTTGATTTTAGGAAGGAACCATTCTCACATCCCAGGAGAACCAGCTAATTCGCAGCTGACCTAACAGTATCTGACATACCCCTTCTATTGACTCATGGCTTCCCTCTGCATGAGAAAATCCAACAGTTTAATCTCTACAAGTTACTGTGGAAGCACTCAACAGTGAGGAGAAAAGCAAAATTTCAACTCTGGGAGGAAGACTAAGCAGACTACATCAGTCAGGATATACTAGATTTCACTGCAATAACAAATGACCCCAAAACTAAGTAGCTTAAAATAAGATTAATTCTCACCCAGGCTCCATGTTCACTATTCACCAAGGATTGCCTGGAGGGCTGTTCTCCATGGCCATTAGCATCCTTACTGCAGGCTCATGGTGATAGAAAAGCCACTTACTGGAATATTGGTGGTTGCTCTGACAGTGAGAAAATAATATTTTGACATATGCACTGGCTCTTAAAGCTTCTACCCTGAAGTTACATGCAACAGTTTTCTCACATTTTAATGGCAAAATCAAGTCACCCTAACTTCACATGGGTAAGAAGTGCAGTGTCACTGTGCATGAAAAGAGAGAGAACTAAAATTATGTAAACAGCAAAATGAAGCAGTTAAAGAGGTTTTTCTATTGATATAGAAATAATAGAATTGACACATGGAAACCTTAACAAAAAAGTAAGGTGATTTTTAAAGACATGCAATTAGAATTCTGACATTCTAGAATTAATTTAAAATGCTTTGCAAATTTAAATATTCAATAGACAATTTGAAAGGAAAATAGTCTCTTCTGAAAACTAAATTGGATTCCTGGAAGATCAGGTGTAAGGAGTATCTCACAACATAGCGCAAAAATACAAAGGGACAAATATTCTGGGTAAAAAATATAAGAGAAGATAGTTACAAGACACTTAAGTTACACATAAAAAATATTTCCAGGAGGAAAAAGAAGCAGATTGAGGAGCAATAATAATTAAAGCAAACAAACAAGAAACGTTCTTTAAGATAAAGAAAGACTTGAAATTTCTGTTTGAAAGCTTTCAAGGTCCAGGCAGGGTCCATGAAGAAAAAAATAGTGTGTATGTACATATATATGTATATGTATGTATGCATGCACACTCATATATCTAGCATATTTATACACATGTGTACATAAACAAGTGTGAATACATATATAGACATATTTATAGATATATTGACGTGTATACACTGGAGTTACATATACATAGGATATGTCTGTATATGTGTTGGGGGAAATATATATGCATAGATAGACATATGTATTTTCTGGTGAAATCCTGGAAGGACAAAGAGACCAAGAAATTTTCTAAGCTTCCAGAGAGAAAATATATTTCATTTAGAGAAAGAGAATCAGATCAGCACTATCCTGTAGCCACTGAGGTTAGAATGGAATACCTAGGGATTATTGAGGGGAAGAGGAACAGCCTGAAATCCTGTCTGAGATTTCACTCACCACTCAAGGAAAACTTCAGAGTGCATGCCATTCTTTTTTTTTTCTTCAACTTTTATTTTAAGTTCAGGGTTACATGTGCAGGATGTACAGGTTTATTACATAGATGAACATGTGCCATCGTGGTTTGCTGAATAGATAATTCCATCACCTCCAATGTTTTTTTTTTTTTAAATTAAATCCAGCATCCATTAGCTATCCACCCTAATGCTCTCTCTCCCCTTATGTCTCCCTTCCTACAGGCCCCAGTGTGTTTTTCCCCACCTCATGTGTCCAAGAGCTTCCTCTTATAAGAAAGAATATACAGCATTTGGTTTTCTGTTCCTGTGCTAGTTTGCTGAGGATAATGGCTTCCAACTCCATCCATGTCTATGCAAAGTACATGATCTCATTCCTTTTTTATGGCTGCGTAGTATTTCATGATATATATGTATCACGTTTTCTTTATTCACTCTATCATTGATGGGCATTTAGGTTGATTCCATGTCTTTGCTATTGTGAGTGGTGCTGCAGTGAACATACATGTGCATGTATGTTTATAATAGAATTATTTCTATTCTTTTGGGTACATACCGAATAATGGGATTGTGGGTTAAATGGCATTTCTGGCTCTAGGTCTTTGAGGAATCACCACACTGTCTTCCACAGTGGTTAAACTAATTTACATTCCCACCAACAGTGTTAAAGTGTTCCTGTTTCTCCACAGTCTTGCCAGCATTAGTTGTTTCTTGACTTTTTAATAATAGCTGTTCTGACTGGTGTAATATGGTATCTCATTGTGGTTTTGATTTGCATTTCTCTAATGATCAGTGATGATGAGCTTTGTTTCATGTGTTTGTTGGCCACATGTATGTCTTCTTTTGAGAAGTGTCCGTTCATGTCCTTTGCCCACTTTTTTTGATGGAGTTGTTTGTTTTTTTCTTGTAAATTTGTTTAAGTTCCCTGTAGATTCTGGATATTAGGCCTTTGTCAGATGGACAGATTGCAAGAATTTTCTCCCATTCTGTAGGTTGTCAGCTTACTCTGATGATAGTTTCCTTTGCTGTGTAGAAGCTCTTAAGTTTAATTAGATCCCATTTGTCAATTTTTGCTTGTGTTGCAATTGCTGTTGGTGTTTATATCATAAAATCTTTGCCTGTGCCCATGCCCTTAGTGATATTACCTAGATTTTCTTCTAGAGTTTTTATAGTTTTGGGTTTTACATTTAAATCTTTAATCCATTTTGAGTTAATTTTTGTGTATGACGTAAGGAAAGGGTCCAGTTTCAATTTTCTGCACATCGCTAGCACCATTTATTAAATAGGGAATCCTTTCCCCACTTCCTCTTTTTTACAGGTTTGTTGAAAATCAGATGGATGTAGTTTTGTGGTCTTCTTTCTGGCTCCTCTACTCTGTTCCATTTGCCTGTGTGCCTTTCCTTGTACCACTACCATGCTGTTTTGACTATGGTAGCTTTGTACCATACTGAAGTCAGGTAGCATGATGCCTCCAGCTTTGTTCTTTTTTGCTTAGAATTATCTTGCTATTCAGGCTGCTTTTTGGTTCATATGAATTTTAAAATAGTTTTTTCTATTTATTTGAAGCATGTCAATGGTAGTTTAATGGGAATAGCATTGAATCTATAAATTACTTTGGGAAGTATGGGCATTATAATAATCTTGATTCTTCCTATCCATGAGCATAGAATGTTTTTCCATGTGTTTGTGTCCTCTGTGATTTATTGGAGCTGTGGTTTGTTGTTCTTCTTGAAGAGGTCTTTCACTTCCCTTGTTAGCTTTATTCCTGAGTATTTTATTCTTTTGGTGGCAATTGTGAATGGGAGTTTATTCATGATTTTGATTTTGTACCCTGAGACTATGCTGAAGTTGCTTATCAGTTTAGAAGCTTTTGGGCTGAGATGATGGAGTTTTCTAGATACAGGATCATATCATCTGCAAACAAAGATAATTTGACTTCCTCTCTTTCTATTTGAATTCCCTTCATTTCTTTCTCTTGTTTGATTCCTCTGGATACAATTCCCAATACTATGTTGAGTAACAGTGGTGAGAGAGGGCATCCTTGTCTTCTGCTGCTTTCAAGGGGAATGCTTCCAGTTTTTGTCCGTTCAGTATGATACTGGCTGTGGGTTTGTCATAAATGGCCTTATTGTTTTGTGATATGTTCCTTCAATACTTGGTTTGTTGAGAGTTTTTAAAATGAAGGTTGTTGAATTTTATTGAAGGCCTTTTCTGCATCTATTGAGATAATTACGTGGGTTTTGTCTTTAGTTTTGTTTATGGAATGAATTACATTTATTGATTTGCATATATTAAACCAGCCTTGTATCCTGGAATTGTAGCCAACTTTATCATGGTAGATAAGCTTTTTAATGTGATGCTAGACTCAGTTTGCCATTATTTTGTTGAGGATTTTCACATCGATGTTCATCAAGGGTATCGGCCTCAAGTTTTCTTTTTCTGGTTATATCTCAGCCAGGTTTTGATATCTGGATGATACTGGCCTCATAGAATGAGTTAGTGAGGACTCTCCTTTCGTATTTTTTGGAATAGTTTCAGGAGGCATGATACTAGCTCTTCTTTGTATCTCTGGTAGAATTCAGCTGTGAATCCATCTGGTCCTGGGCTTTTCTTGCGGGGGAGTAGGGAGGTTAGTAGGCAATTTATTCCGGCATCTGTTTCAGAACTTGTTATTGTTCTATTCAGGGATTTAATTCCTTTCTGGATCAATCTTGGGAGGGTTTATGTGTCCAGGAATTTATCCATTTCTTCTAAATTTTTTAGTTTATGTGCATAGAAGTGTTTATACTAGGTTTGACGGTGGTTTGTATTTCTGTGGGGTCAGTGTTGCTATCCCCCTTATTTCTGATTGTGTTTAGTTGAATCTTTTATCTTTTCTTCTTTATTATTTTAGCTACATCTATTAATTTTTTCAAAAAAAAAAACAGTTCTTGAATTCCTTGATTTTTTTGAAGGCTTTTTTTTTTGTCTCTGTATCCTTCAGTTCAGCTCTGATCTTGGTTATTTCTTGTCCTTTGCTACCTTTGGGCTTGGTTTGCTCTTAGTTCTCTAGTTTTTTTAGTTGTCATTTTAGGTTGTTAACTCATGATCTTTCTAGCTTTTTGATGTCAGTATTTAGTGGTATAAATTTCCCTCTTAATACTGCTTTAGCTATGTCCCAGTGATTCTAGTACACTGCCTCTTTTTTCTCATTAGTTTCAACAAACTTCTTGATTTCTGCCCATATTTCATTATTTACTGAGGGGTCATTCAATTTCTTTGCACTTAAGTGGTTTTGAGTGCATTTCTCAATCTGGAGTTCTAATTTGATTGTACTGTTGTCTAGAGACTGTTGGTTGTGATTTCAGTTCTTTTGCGTTTGCTGAGGAATGTTTTACTTCCACTTATGTGATCAACTTTAGAGTAAGTGCTGTGTGGTGGTGTGATGAATGTATATTGTGTTGTTTTGGAGTGCAGAGTTCTCTATATATCTATCATGTCCACTTCAGGCAGAGCTGAGCTTAGATCCTGAATATCTTTGGTAATTTTCTGTCTCAATGATCTGTCTGATATTGTCAGTGCGGTGTTAAAGTCTCCCACGATTATTGTGTGGAAGTCGAAGTCTCCTTGTAGGTGTCCAAGAACGTGCTTTATGAATCAGAGTGCTCTTGTACTGGGTGCATATATATTTAGGATAGTTAACTCTTGTTGAATTGAACCCTTTACCATTATGTAGTTCCCTTCTTGTCTTTTTTGATCTTTGTTGGTTTAACGTCTGTTTTGTCAGAAACTAGGATTGCAACCCTTGCTTTTTTTCTGCTTTCCATTTGCTTAGCAAATTTTCCTCCATCCCTTTATTTTGAGCCTATGTGTGTCTTTGCATGTGAGATGGGTCTCTTAAAGACAGGATGCCAATGGATCTTGGCTCTCTATCCAGCTTGCCATTCTGTGTCCTTTAATTGGGCATTTAGCCCCTTTACATTTAAGGTTAGTATTGTTATGTGTAAATTTGAAACTGTCATCATGATGCTAGCTGGTCATATTGCAGACTGGTTTATGTGGTTGCTTTATTGTGTTACTACTGGTCTTTGTACTTAAGTATGGCTTTGTAGTGGTAACATTTTTCCTTCATATGTAGTGCTTCCTTCAAGAGCTCTTGCAAGGCAGGTCTGGTGCTGATGAATTCCCTCAGCATTTATTTGTCTGAAAAGGTTCTTATTTATCCTTTGTTTAAGAAGCTTATGTCAGCCAGATATGAAATTCTGGGTTGGATTTTTTTTAAGAATGTTGACTATTGACCCCCAATCTCTTTTGGTTTGTAGGGTTTCCAGTGAGAGGTCCACTGTTAGTCTAATGGGCTTCTCTTTATAGGTGACCTGGCCTTTCTCTCTGGCTGCCCTTAACATTTTTTCTTTCATTTCAACCTTGGAGAATCTGATGATTATGTGTCTTGGGGTTGATCTTCTCCTGGAGTATCATACTGGGGTTCTGTAGATTTCCTGACTTTGAATGTTGGTCTGTCTTGCTAGGTTGGAGAAGTTCTCCGGGATGATACCCTGAAGTGTGTTTTCCAATGTGGTTCCATTCTCCCCATCTCTTTCTAACCTCAGTAAATCGTAAGTTTGGTCTCTTAACATAATTCCATATTGCTTGGAGGGTTTTTCACTTCCTTTTCATTCTGCTGTGTTCTTGTCTGCCTGTCTTGTTTCAGAAAGATAGTCTTCAAGCTCCGAGATTCTTTCCTCTGCTTGGTCTGTGCTGCTATTGATACTCGTGATTGCACTGTGAAATTCTTGTGTTTTTCGCCTGCGTCAGGTTGGTTATATTTCTCTTTAAACTGGCTATTCTGGCTATCAGCTCCTGTATTATTTTATCATGATTCTTGGCTTGTTTGCATTGGGTTAGAACATGCTCCTTTAGCTCAGCAAAGTTTATTATTACCCACCTTCTGAAGCCTACTTCTGTCAGTTCAACCATCTCGGCCTCAGCCCACTTTCATGCCCTTGATAGAGAGGTGTTGTGGTCATTTAGAAGAAAGGAGGCACTCTGGCTTTTGAATTTTTAGCATTTGTGCACTGATTCTTTATTATCTTTGTGGGCTTATTTACCTTCAATATTTGAGGTTGCTGACCTTTGAATGGAATTTTTATAGGGTCTTTTTTTGTTGCTATTTTTGTTGTTTTATTTTAGCAAGGCACTCTTTTGTAGGGCTACTGCAGTTTCCTGGGGCTCTGCTTCAGATCCTAGTTGCCTCAGTTTTTCCCATACCTAGAGGTATCACCAGTGAAGACTGCAAAACAGCAAAGATGGCAGCCTGCTCCTTCTTCTGGAATCTCTGTCCCAGGTAGGTACTGACCTGTTGCCAGCCTGAATACACCTGTAGAAGGTGGCTAGAGACCTATGTTGGGAGGTCTCATCTTACCAGGAGGAATGGGCTCATGGACCTGCTTAAAGAAGCATTCTGACTGCTTTTTGTTAGAGCAGTTGTGCTGCGTTGTGGGGGACTCTTCCTCATCCAGACTGTTTGGATTCTCTAATACCAGCAGGCTGAAACAGCTGAGTCTGCCAAGCAACAGAGATGGTAGCCACCCCTCCCCACAGGAACTCCATCCTGTCTCAAGCAGATTCTAGCCTGTTGCTGTTGGCTGGCTAGAATTTCAAGCCAGTGGGTCTTAACTTGTGAGGTGCTATGGAAGTGGAGCCTGCAGAGCAATGCTTCTTGGCTTCCTAGATTCAGCCCCTTTCCTAGGAATATGTACCGAGAGCTCTCCCGCCTTGCTGGGGATCCCAGGGCCAGAGTATGTAAAACTCCTGGGTCTCTGTGTGTGCCTGAGCAGGGGCTTTGCTGAGACTCCATGCAGCTCTGTGTATCAGACTCAAGGCCCAGGTGGCGTGAGCTCATGAGGGAATCACTTGATCCACGGGTTGCAAAGATCCCTGGAAGAAGCAGGGTTTCTCCTACAGGTTCGCAAAATCACTCACCACTACCCTTGGCTGGGGGTGGGGTTTCCTTTGGCTTCACGCCACTTCTGGGTGGGCTGTTGGCCCCCATGCTTTTCTTCTTCCTCTTTGGGTCGAGTCAGTGTGCCTAGTCAGTCCCAGTGGGAGGACTTGGATATTTCAGTTGAAGGTGCTAAGTTCACGCACCACTTTCATTCCTCTCCATGAGTGCCGCAGACCTCAGCTGCTTCTAATAGGCCATCTTGGTGCCTCTCTCTGCCATTCTGTCTGTGAAAACATTTGGGGAACTAATATAACCAATTGAAAATTCAACCGAAGTAGACACTTCTGGGTAGGGGAGACAGTACAATCAGCAATGATGAACAGTACATTTCACAATACATAAATATTTATTCATCATAATAGTCCCATAAATTTTTGCCCAACTTATAGATGGGAAAGTGAGACTTAAAGCTGACTGGCATTCAGAGTGGAAGAGCTAGGCTTCAAACTAAAGCTCTTTATGTGCGGAGTCCAAGCTCTTAACCGCTTAATCATGTAACTTCTCTTGAAGCCTTCCATAGGGGGAGAACTGCTTAAATAAAACATAAAATCCAAGAACCACACACACACACACAAAGATAAAGACATTTTTTGCTGAAAATGTTTGACAAAAGATATTAAGACAAAGTCTAAAGATTAAAAATAGTGTAGAGAAAATGTTTGTAACATATGACAGAACAAAAGTTCATATAGCGTGTAACTTACCTGGTCTGACTAAGTGATCAGAAAAAGGGCTGGATGCGGTGGCACATGCCCGAAATCCCAGCAATTTGGGAGGCTGAGGCAGACGGATCACAAGTTCAAGAGATGGAGACCATCCTGGCCAACATGGTGAAACCCTGTCTCTACTAAAAATACAAAAATTAGCTGGGCATGGTGGTGCATGCCTGTAGTCCTAGCTACTCCACTCAGGAGACTTAGGCAGAAGAATTGCTTGAGCTCAGGAGGGTGGAGGTTGCAGTGAGCCAAGATCGGGCCACTGCACTCCAGCCGGGTGACAGAGAAAAAAAAAAAAAAAAAAATGAAAAATGAAAAGAAAGAAAGAGAAAGAGAAAGAGAGTAAATAACTAAAGTTGAAAAATAAGCAAAGTACATGAACAGGTAGCTCACAGAAGAGAAATGCAAATTTCTAGTACCTTTATGAAAAAAAAAAGATCCCTTATCTCATTTGTAATCTGGGCTACACAAGTTAAAACAAAATGGACACAAATTTTATCTGTTTCATTGGCTAAAATAAAACATAGGTATAATAGTCATCATATGACTTGTGAGGACTCAGTTTATATATTTATAAATTGTATATATATATATATATATATATATATATATAAACTGTGTGTATGTGTATATATGTGTGTGTATATATAAAATGTGTGTATACACATTCATATGCTTATAATCATAGTATAAATTTTTACAGTATGAAAAAAATAAGCTAGTGACATCTATGAAAATTAAAATTTTATATATCCGGAAAAACCTCTGGGAAACAATTCTTCAGAAGTCATAGCATATTACATTAAAACGTTGGTATACTGTTAAATGTTTTACCACTGGCTCTCCAGAACAAGGGAGAAGAAGGGGAGAGAAATGAAGAAAGGAGGAGGATGAGGGAGGAAGGAAGGGAAGGAAAAAAGGAAGGAAGGAAGAGAATCTCATTGTATAGTACTTACCACTGTCAATGCTGTAAATACTCCCATCATGATCAAGTCCCGGTTACTAATGTGCATCCCTAAATGCAGAAGTAGGGAGAGAGGCACACAGTTGTTTGTACTAAGCCTATGTGAGCAGGCTTCAGCACGTCACTGCGTTCAAACATGTGCATAAGGACCTCGATTGCCACATTATCGTGATCCTGTGACTATATCTTCTGTATTCTGTCTGTATTGTTAGAATTGTTTTTTTTTAAAAAAGCACTTAATATTTGTGTAGTTCTTGAAATTCTTATAAAAGTTTTAAAGAATAAAATGCACTATGTATTTTACAGCTACCCCATAAAATATTTCAGTATTTCAGAATCTGATTTATTTGGTCCTGGAGTCTCAAACTCAATCAGTCAAGTGCTCTATTACTATTTCCTCATCATCTCTTAGACATTGTAAAGAAATCTGACAGCTCTATTAATAAAATGAATCTTTAGCACTTCAAGGTTGCCAAAGGAGTGATAGATAACTTCTTTACTAACCTTGGAGGATGTGTATGTGTGACTGGATTAAGGAAGCTGTCAGGATTCCTTTCCATTTTAATTTTACTAAAATTCAAGTTCCATGAGGGCAAAAGACCATGTTTGCCTTATGCACTATTGCCTTTTTTTTTTTTTTTAGATGCTGGTGCAATTCCTAGCATTTAGGCATTGATAAATGATTTAAGTAATCAGCTAGTAAAATAAATAAACAAATATTCTCTTTGTTAAGTTTGACCCTTTTTGTTTGAAAACCATCCTCATAGAGAAAATGACTGCAAAAGAGTGGCCTGGTTCTTTTCTTCTGTGAACATTAACAGTCCTAACATTAGCTGACCTATCCTTTTTTTGTTTTTGATTGAGTTTTTAAAAAATGACTTGGAAGAAAAGGTATTTATACTTCTTCACGCTTTTATCAAAAATCCTAATTCTTTCTCTGCTTTAGCCATCCTGAGACTTTGTATGCATCATTCATCTTGGACATTTTTCCTTTCTTTGTACAGAGTCTTTGAAAAATATAAGCCGAGAGATCTGCCCGTGCAGCCACTTGGTTAGTATTATGTTTTCACATCCTTTCTTGTTAGGTTCATTTGGCTCTTTATGATAATAGGAGAATTTCCCCGTTTAAGAATCTCCTGCCTCATTTGAGCCTCTTTCCTTTTATATTTGTCAAGCCACTCTCTGGTTCTACTTGTTTTGGTCTGATAAGCAAATAACAGGGCTTTTCAGCATCCTGAGTCTGCCAGACATAGGTATCATTAGAGATTGGACAGTTTTCCTTGGTTTTTTTTTTTTTTCAGTAGTTTAAAAAATGTGAAATTTTTATTGTTGTATTGTTATTTTTTATTGTTTTTTCAAAAAAAAAATTTTACATTTTTTTAAATTATACTTTAGGTTCTGGGGTACATGTGCTAATCATACAGGATTGTTGCATAGGTACACACATAGCAATGTGGTTTGGTTTGCTGCCTCCATCCCTCCCATCACCTACATCTAGCATTTCTCTTCATGTTATCTCTCCCCAACCTCCCCACCGCCCCCCACTGTCCCTCTCTTGGCCCACCTGCAACAGACCCCAGTGTGTGATGCTCCCTTCCCTGTGTCCATGTGTTCTCATTGTTCAACACCCTCCTATGAGTGAGAACATGCGTTGTTTGATTTTCTGTTCTTGTGTCAGTTTGCTGAGAATGATGGTTTCCAGATTCATCCATGTCCCTGCAAAGGACACGAACTCATTGTTTTTTATGGCTGCATAGTATTCCATGATGTATATGTACCGCATTGTACTCTGATTTCTCTTCAGGTCGTATAAATCTTTTGCCTTTTACTAAAGATTTCCTTGGTTTTATATCTATCTTTGTTTCTCACCTCAGAAGCCCTCAGGCTGTCATATATGGGACAGACATTTCATTGTCTCTTCACAGTTCATGATTTATGTGGTGTTTGCTAAGGAAACATTTTTGTAAGGAAAGTATTTACATGTTTTGAAAGGAAGAGGGTCTGAAATAGGTTGATATTTAGGTAATTCCAAGTCCTTTTAAAATAGTGAAGTATCTGAGCTGTATCTGAGTGAGCTGATCAGGGCAGCAGCTGTGGAGGGTTTTAGAATAAACTTTAAAGTAATACACACAGCAGTTCCTTAAATGTGTAAAACTACTTTCCAAATTAGAAGCTGACCAGCAGAGATGTCATAAAATTTGTTGTATGTGAGGCTGCTTGTTTTTTTCTTTTTGCAAAGGCCATAAAGAGAAGGGTAATCAGGAAACTTGGAAAGAGAAAGAGGGAATAGTCTTTACTAAGTAGCAGGCAGACAGGAGAGATGTATTTTTCAGTTAGTATGAATGGTAGAGGAAGTGAAAACTGAAATATAAGATCACATAGAGTTAGACACTCATAATGGTGGACAGATGGCTTTGAGCAAAGAGTGTCACCCACCACACACACACACACACACGAAGAAACTAAAGGATAGTATGAGGACTAATTGGTTGTGTGTTTGTGATCATGCTTAGATTGTGAAGTGACTAACAACAGCATAAGGTTTGTGAATGTGGCACCTAATTGTATCTAGCTGTTTGAATTTCTTTTGCTATTGTCCTTTCTATTGTTTGAGTAAATATAAGGAGAGGTAATTGTTTTAATAAAGAGCTCTATTTTATGAAAAAAAAAGCCTTTCCTAAGAGAATGAGTAGGTAATGAATTACCTAAGGAATGACTGTGCTATTTATCTCTCTATTTTGGCCCATGAAGCCATTGTGAAGCCACTGCTGTTCAGCTTGCAACTGAATATCTGAATTGTAACTACAGTTTAGGAAGAAATAAATAGTCTTATTATTTAAAGTCATGCCTATAAAATGACAGTAAACTTCACTGTC